CTCCCCGAGCGCCGCACGATGGCAGCCCATTGCTCCTTCAGGGGATGGGTTAAATGCTTAGGTACATTTCTTCAATGTGAGATCAATAAATTTCAATTAATATTTAATAACAGACAATAAAACCGATTAAATTAGCTTTAATCTGTAATAGTATATGTATGGAGTGAACTTTGTTCCATTATTGTTGCAGGAAAGAAGACTTTTTGTTAAGGGAAATTTTAAAAGAAAATACAATAGAGAGATGAAACTTTAAAACAAAAACATTTTAATCATAAATAGCTTTGAGAGAAACTCTGCTGTTTGCTGTTATTTCAACTTGTATTTTAGTACTTCATATTTTGTATTTTTTTTAAAAATGTTAATTGTATTTTGTCTTTTTTTTTAAAGATCATATATTTAGTTTTTTGTTTTTATTTCTAATTTTTTCACTGTTGACGCTCGACCAATAAAAGTGTTGCTAATGTCCAGCTGACCAATAGAAATACGTCAAAGGAAAGCCCGCCCCCAGGATGGAAGTGAATTTAATCTGTAAATTAAATTCAATTTGTAAAACGGAATTTAAAAAATAAAAGTGAAAATATAAAATTTGTTTAAAAAAATGGTGGAAATTTTAGAAAATGAAAAAAAAAAGAAATTTGAAATACCATACCATACCATACCAACTTTATTTATGAAGCACTTTATACACCGAACAGGACCAAAGTGCTGTACACAATCATAAAATACAATAAAATTATAAAATAGAGAAAAAACGAGTGTAAAATACATATTAGTATACAAAAAGAATAAAACAAAGTAAAACCTCTCAAATTGTGCCAAAAGCCAAGGAAAAAAGATGAGTCTTAAGAAGGGACTTAAAAACAGCAAGAGAAGAGGCCTGTCTTATGCTCAGAGGCAGATCATTCCACAGCTTAGGAGCTGCCACAGAAAAAGCACGGTCTCCTCTGAGCTGCATTTTGTCTTTGGGACCCTCAGAAGCAACTGATCAGCTGACCTGAGGGAACGGGAGGGTGTATAAGAATGTAACAGCTCAGACAGATAAGAAGGAGCAAGGCCATTAAGAGTTTTAAAAACAAATAAAAGAATTTTAAAATTAATCCTAAAATGTACTGGCAGCCAGTGTAAGGAAGCTAAAACAGGGGAAATGTGGTCGAATTTTCGTGTACCTGTTAAAAGACGTGCAGCAGCATTTTGAACCCTCTGAAGATGAGAAATATACAAGTCACTGACCCCTGTATAAAGTGAGTTACAGTAATCCAGCCGTGTGGTCACAAATGCATGTATCACTGTTTCAAAATGCTGTCTGGAAAGAATGGGTTTTACTTTTGCTAGCTGCCTTAAGTGGAAAAAGCTGGACTTTATAACGGCTCTGATGTGCGCTTCCATTTTAAGACCAGCATCCATCTTAACCCCTAAATTTGTAATAACCGGCTTAACGTACTGAGCCAAGGAGCCAAGACTGGTCACGGAATCAGCAGTGGATCTGCCAAAGATCATTACGTCCGTCTTGTCCTCATTGAGTTTTAAAAAATGTAGGGCCACCCAGGCCTTCACATCTTCAAGACATAAAAACAGAGACCGAAGAGAGGTGGAGTTTACATTCTTTAGCGGTAAGTACAGGTGCTGGTCATAAAATTAGAATATCATGAAAAAGTAGATTGATTTCAGTAATTCCATTTAAAAAGTGAAACTTGTATATTATATTCATACATTACATACAAACTCATATATTTCAGATGTTTATTTTGTTTAATTTTGATGATTACAAATGACAACAAATGAAAATCTCAAATTCATCATATCAGAAAATTAGAATATTACTGAAGACCAATAAAAACAAAGGATTTATAGAAATGTTGGCCAACTGAAAAGTATGAACATGAAAAGTATGAGCATGTACAGCACTCAGTATTTAGTTGGGCCTCCTTTGGCCTGTATTACTGCAGCAATGCGGCGTGGCATGGAGTCGATCAGTCTGTGGCACTGCTCAGGTGTTATGATAGCCCAGGTTGCTCTAATAGTGGCTTTTAGCTCTTCTGAATTGTTGGGTCTGGTGTATTGCATCTTCTTCTTCACAATACCCCATAGATTTTCTATGGGGTTAAGGTCAGGAGAGTCTGCTGGCCAATTAAGAACAGGGATACCATGGTCCTTCAACCAGGTACTGGTAGCTTTGGCACTGTGTGCAGGTGCCAAGTCCTGTTGGAAAATGAAATCTGCATCTCCAAAACGTTGGTCAGCTGCAGGAAGCATGAAGTGCTCTAAAACTTCCTGGTATGTGGCTGCGTTGACCCTGGACCTCAGAAAACACAATGGACCAACACCAGCAGATGACATGGCACCCCAAACCATCACTGACTGTGGAAACTTTACACTGGACTTCAAGCAACGTGGATGAAGTGCCTCTCTTCTTTTCCTCCAGACTCTGGGACCTTGATTTCCAAAGGAAATGCAAAATTTACTTTCATCAGAGAACATGACTTTGGACCACTCACCAGCAGTCCAGTCCTGTTTCTCTTTAGCCCAGGCAAGACGCTTCTGACGCTGTCTGTGGTTCAAGAGTGGCTTGACACAAGGAATGCGACAGCAGAAACCCATGTCTTTCATACGTCTGTGTGTGGTGGTTCTTGAAGCACTCACTCCAGCTGCAGTCCACTCTTTGTGAATCTCCCCCACATTTTTGAATGGGTTTTGTTTCACAATCCTCTCCAGGGTGCGGTTATCTCTCTTGCTTGTACACTTTTTTCGACCACATCTTTTCCTTCCCTTCGCCTCTCTATTAATGTGCTTGGACACTGAGCTCTGTGAACAGCCAGCCTCTTTAGCGATGACCTTTTGTGTCTTGCCCTCCTTGTGCAAGGTGTCGATGGTCGTCTTTTGGACAACTGTCAAGTCAGCAGTCTTCCCCATGATTGTGTAGCCTATAGAACTAGACTGAAAGACCATTTAAAGGCTTTTGCAGGTGGTTTGAGTTAATTAGCTGATTAGAGTGTGGCACCAGGGGCCATCAATTTTCAACCTTTTCACAATATTCTAATTTTCTGATATGATGAATTTGAGATTTTCATTTGTTGTCATTTGTAATCATCAAAATTAAACAAAATAAACATCTGAAATATATGAGTTTGTATGTAATGTATGAATATAATATACAAGTTTCACTTTTTAAATGGAATTACTGAAATCAATCTACTTTTTCGTGATATTCTAATTTTATGACCAGCACCTGTATATCTGTGTGTCATCTGCATAGCAGTGAAAGGCAATCCCATGTTTTCTGAAAATAGAGCCGAACGGAAGAAGGTAAAGTGAGAAAAGGAGCGGGCCTAGAACTGAGCCCTGTGGGACACCACACGACAGTGGAGCAGAGGGGGACCTATGGCCATCAAGACAGACACAAAAAGTACGTTCAGCCAAATATGATCTAAACCAATCTAGAGCTATGTGACCGACGCCCACCCACTGTTCCAGATGGGAAAGTAAAATGACATGATCAACTGTGTCAAAAGCAGATGATAAATCCAACAGCACCAAAACAACAACGTCACCTGAATCAGTTGCTAAAAGTATATCATTAAAAACTTTTAAAAGGGCTGACTCTGTGCTATGAAAATAATAAAATCTGAGAAAAGTGTAACTTTTTTTATTAAAAACGTTTTATTTTATTTTTATTTCTATTTACAAAATGTGTTCTTTGCAGCAATAATGGAACAGAATCGATTCCAAATATTGGAATTAAAAGTTTTTTTTTTGAAAATAGTCAATTTAAAGTTGATTTAAATCACTTTATTGTGTTTTATCCTGCATTTCCAGATTACATTCTGTTTCTAACTTTTTTCTCAATTTTTAATTTTGGCTTTAAAAACATGTTTGATGAATTTCAATGAATGAATAGAAATGTTATTTTCTTCTGAAGTAATAAGAAGCTTAGAAACTTCAGATTCTTCTCAGTTCAACTGTTGATTAAATGAGTCCAGACGTCTCAGAAACACTAAAAACTGGCATCCATATTTAGTTTAGTGGTGTTTGTTTATTAGGGGAACAAACCAGACTGTTTAAGAGGGTCAAAGGTCACTTTGATGTACAGATAGATTTATCGATTTAATTTTTTTTATATGAAACTTTAATAATCAGATAATCTTCTCTTTTCTACCAGTTCATCTTTGGGAGGCGTCTCTCTTTGCTCTTGGATGTATTCCTGATAAACCAGCCACTGCAAACATTATTTCCATTTGTTACAGTGGCATGGCTGCCATCTTGGTTTCACTGTATGCTTTCTGGTTCAGCTAAAATTACACTGTAAAAAATGTAAATCTAAGTAAATCATTTTCTTCTTAAAATAAGAGCATTTTTTCTGGAATTGAGCAGATAGAAATGTCATCAGAATGCTTATAATATTAAGTGTGTCTCAGCAAACTCTGCTCTCCAGAGCGAGTAGATTGGTAACCCCGCCTCCTGCTCTCATCTATCTTGTCTGCTGTCATGATTCATGCAGCTATTATTTCATCCAAATGAAAAATGGAGAACAGATAAGCAGATCATGGCTTGTCTACAGTGAAAAGAAGGACTGGGTTATTTACTTTGGCCTTTTTGGAAACACAGGAAGGAGCAATCAGCTAAGTGAGCTTAGTGCTTGGAAAAAATCTTTCATTCCTTTAGAGACAGCATGAAAAGTCAGCTGAGTACAAAACATAGAGAGGAAAACAAGAAGAAAAGGGACAAAACCTAGAACAGATAATGGATGTCTATTCTATTAACATCTCTCTATCTGGAGAATGGGGCTGTTTTATATGTTGTTCTCTCAATTCAGAGGGCCCCCGGCCTGTCTTTGCCAAGGGCCCCAAATTTCCTAAATCCGCCCCTGCTGATAACAGAAAGCTCAGAAACCATCGTAATGTTAAAGCTACCCTTGAAACATTTAGGATGAATCTCTTTCCTGCAGAGTTTGGGTTAAAGTTATCGATGTTTCTACTAATTCTGAACTCTCTGCACCTTCATAGGAGCGGGGAGGAATAGAGGACGTACCGGAGACGAAGGACAAGGTCCAGGCCCTGAAGGATCAGGTAGATGGCGTGAAGGACATCATGACGCAGAATGTGGACCGGATCCTGGCACGAGGAGAGAGGCTGGACGACCTGATGGGAAAGACAGAGGATCTGCAGGCAGGGGTCAGTGTTACCACCAGAGCTCTACCAACCCATGCATGGAGGTTTATGAACATGAACCACTCAGAACCAGACCGCTTCTATGCAGAAATGTTAAAAAAAAGTTTTTTTCTTCTGTGGAAGGGGAACTTTTAATGGAGGGCTTTTAAATCAAGCATCCTGTAGAACAAGCTGATTACTGCCACAGCGTGCCGTCTCAGGTCTGATGTCTCATTGCACAGTTTGCCTCAACCGCCGTTTAATTTCGGGGTTCATTAAAGGGTAGCTTTATCTGAACCAATCAGCCGTCAGCGATAAAGTCAGGGGGAGTCTGAACCACGGATGGAAAAAGATCATCAGGGATATGATGAAACATAAAACTGGATTTGCTGCAGCTTAGGCTTGTTTTTATTCCACATTTCTGGTCTTAAACTAAAGCAAAGCTGATGGTTGATTGAATGAAGATGTGTTTATATCTAAGCTCTGCAGCAGAATATTTGAATAGGATCATCATCCTGATGATCGGACTGAACAGCTGATGTTTTCAGGACATTTCTCACTTCAAAATAAGTTGACGTTTTTTTCCAGCTTATCAAAGCAAATCAAGCAAAGCTGCTCGATTGGGAGGAAAAGAATAAAGCAGCTCAACTACAGCAACTGATTTTTAAATGCACCACTGTTGAGACTGTGGTGTGATGAAGCATTAAGCTCCTCTATCCAGTGAAGGCAGCATTTTCACTGATTAATGGAATTTATTGGTTTATTTCGTTAGAAAAATGAGGTGCCAAAGGTGTTAATGTTTATTACTCCTGTAGAAATATAAATCCTGCTGTTTAAAAACACTTTTGTAGAAGTTAGAGGATCAACTTAAAGGTATAGTGAAGGATTTTTTCCAATAAACAAAAAGAAAAATGCACATTGACCAAAGTGTAAACAAGGGAACGCCTATTAAAGGTGTGCGAGAGCGTGCACAAGCCCTTTTCTCCTCATGCAAGCTCTATTTAACAGTTGCTGTTCACATGGCTCATACTGTGCCTGAACGTCCGCTGTAGGTACCAGATCTACTCGGGCCCCGCCCCTTTTTATGACATGAACATATGGCAACTCCACTCAGACAAACTGTGCTACACCCGGATCTCTTCTGAAAAACAATCATGCTCAGTCCTGAAGGAAAGCACTACGTTGAAAGACCGACTGAGCTCTGCTATTTAACAAGGAGACACAAAGAGTCTCAGTTTATTTTTATTCTTTTTATTAAGATCTGAGGGCAGACGAGGACAAATGGAACAGCTTAAAAAATTACTTTCATAGAGATTTTAGACAAAACAGTTATTCTACATGTAGAAAACACACGGTTGTTGTTGACACAAATTTAAAAGTAGTGTAGCTTAATGTGGCTAACTGACTGAGCTAAAAGAGGCTAACCTGTTAGCTACTGATCACAGCTAGCCAGAACGCTACCCAGCTCTTTATATCATGGTTTAACAGTTACTTTGTACCAGAAACAGATTTTTTTTCACACACGTATGCTGAGTGATGTTATTATCGTTGCCTTGGCAACCACAATGTTTTACATCATGTGGCAACCTTCAGCCAATCATGTAGCGTAACATCACTGGCATAAAGCAGGACCCAGCAGATCTGGTACCTATGGCGCCCTAACCCCCTAAATCCCTCCATCACTATGTACAGCGGGGACTATATAGTGAACTTTATAGTGAACTTGTAGAATGTAAATATCTGGCTGGCTTGCCAAATATGGAAGCAGTTGTACTGCGTTATGTAGTCCTATTTCTGACCTTATGCTCACTTGGCAACGCAGAGAATGCAGTCACGTACGAATCTTGGCAAAAACAGGGTTCTTAGTGGCGGACTCGCTCGCAATCAGGTCATAAGCTAAGAGATTTCCAGGAAGGGCGTCCAGTCGTGCACGTGCATCCACACAGTGCGATGTGGAAACTATAAATGCAGCCCAAAATGGACTGAAGGACTGAGATGTGACGATGTAGCGCTGAACGTATGAAGTGTTTAAGACGGCTGTATGAATTCTGTTTTGTAATTAAATGTTTCCCCCCCTCCGGATGATAAAATGGTGTGAATCGTAGCCTTCTTTCTGCCATTAGGGAATTCTACCAATGAGCTTCCACAAACTCAGTTAACTGACTGTTCAGACCGATGATCACTGCTTTTTGCTCCATTGTTCACGTAACTCCTCCTCCACTGCGCGGTGCCTGCGCCATCTTTATCAGTCGCCGCTGTCAGGCAGCGACAGCCTTTGGCGACAGTGGGCCATTATGACAGCAAATCCCATAATGCTTTCCGAGGTGAGCTCTCTGTGCAAAGCATTCTGGGATATATCTGCCTCTTCTAAGGCCTTTCTTTTCTTCTCATAAACTTCGTAGACAGTTTTTCTCTTACGATCCTCAGCCATTTTCAAATAACCGCGGTGAGAAAGGTGAGCTTCAATGACTGTCTGAAACCGTAGCTCACCACAGATATAAAGAGCGCAGAAAAAGCTAGCTAACGGGATGAGAACGTAGGACGGCATTATGTAAACATATCACCAGAATGATTGACAGTTAGGAGGACCATTTATTTAGATGACCCACCCAGAAATAAAAGATCATCCTCTGTACCTTTTAAGCTTTTTACTCAAGTAAAACTGTAAAAGTACCATTTTTAAAACTACTTAAAGTATATAATTAATAATAATAAACAGGGTTTGTACGGGTGCTGGAAATCCTTGAAAATGCTTGCATTTTGACGTTGTGTTTTCAAGGTTTGAAAATTGCTTATATTTTGGATGAAATGCTTGAAATTGTAACTATTTCTTTCGCAACAAATACCTATCTAACTGAATCGTGTGTTTATTAAATGGAGAAATAAATTGTTGGAGAGCCCGAAAATGAAACCTGCGATCTGCCAGTCTATTTCCATGTGTGACTCCGCCCCCATGAAACCACTACTGCACCATGCCGGGAGGTTGTCGTTTCATTGAACGTTGGCTGGAAGATGAAAAATACAAATTATGGATTAAACGGGGACAAACCCCACCAGTTGCCTCTTGTAAAGTCTGCAAAAAAGATGCGCAGCTTTTCACAATGGGCGAGTCTGCGCTGTCGAGTCACATGAAGGGTAAGTCATAGACTTTTTAAGTAAGCCAACTGAAGTAGCCTAGAACACCTTAACGTTAGCGCCTATTTGTTCACGCTAGTACCTGCTAGCTAGGAATTCACAGGCTAAGTTACAGAGTGACTGAGCGGCCGCCTCGCCAAACTCACGCTACCGCCTCGCCAACGTTCCAAAAAAACAAAAAAAAAACAAAGTTTTAATTCATTGCCAGGGCCAGACCTTAAAACAGCATTGGTAACTGTACGGCCGATAACACTGAATTGCGACACCGTCTGGTTGCTTATATTACTACGCCATGGCAGAGGAGTAATTTTCTTTGATCATCCGAGGAATAATTTTGACTATGTATTGGTATGTAATTTACGGTGGTGCAAGGTGCTGGAAAAAGTTTTAAAATGGATCCTGAAAGTGCTTGAAAAGTGCTTGATTTTGACTTTGGAAAAGGTGTACGAACCCTGAATAAAGGAAAAAACTGTTAAGGCCAGAAGCTTTACTGCTCTACCCCATTAAAGGAACATTTTTCTACAATTCTGGATGATAAATTCCTTAGACTTCTTTTCATCATTTAACAGTGTCAATTTTAACTTTGCATCATCTTGAAAAACAATTTATTTTGGTATGTGGTGAGTAACAAGTTGGGGCAGCACCGAGTCCAACCACAGAGAAATTGTCAGGTCATAATAAAAAATGAGCTTAAATGAAACAAAACTACTGAATCTAATTTGAAAATGAGTAGAAGTAAAAAGTTCTAGAAAATAATGACTCCAGTAAAGTATAGATGGCCAGTATTTCTACTGAGGTAATGAAGTATTTGTACTTTATTTGGCACCTCTGATTAAAAGGAAGAAAATGTTCTTTTTAAATCAGTAAATCCTAAAACTTTCAGTTCTTTGGATCCTTTGTGAGAAAAAAATTAAATCTGTACAGTTGGAGAACTTCATCGTCCTCAGATTGGCAAACAGGAGGCGAAGGTTTGCAGACCGCTGTGACGGCGCTCTGATCCTCTAGTCTCTCCTTTTCAGGCTCAGAACTTCAAGCAGACGGCTCACAAAGTGGCGCGATCCTACTGGTGGAAGAACGTGAAGCTGATCGTGGTCATCGTGGTGGTGGTGCTCATCATCGTCCTCATCATCATCCTGCTGGCCACCGGCGTCATTCCCGTCAGTGCACCCGTGCCTCCCGTAGTCGAGCCAACCAAAAAACCCTGAAGAAGGAAGTCCAACGAGACGCCCTGAGCTCAGAAACACAGTAATATATTGATGATAGCAGCTTAGTGTTGGTTTTTCTGCTAAATATCGAAGGTTTCTTCAGTTTTCTTTTCATGCTTTTGTTACAGGCACTTTAATGGCTCCTAGTTCTGATGAGCATTTTCCCTTTGATGTTTATGTGACCATTTAACCGGGATCCCTCTCATGATGACCCACCCCCCTCCCCGTTAAACCATCTTGAATGTTACGGCTTATTTTGTTGAAAGAGAATAATTATTTTCACGCTGTAGAAGGAAATGCGCTGCAGATAAACCATCGTTACTCTCAGATCTGTTACAGAACAGCAGCTTATTGCTAAAAACGTTCAGGAGGGTCGAGCTCCTCCAGTCTACCAGCTGGGAGAGACCAGAAACACCCCCCCACCCACCCCCTTCTGCCTCTTTAGCTTCAGACAAATTAATCTAATTATAAAGTGTATATAGTCATCATCATCCATGTATATTTACTGTCTTATAAAAAGTCTCTAACCTCTAAAACCAGATTATTTAATGCTGTATTTTATTCTATGAAATCCAGAATGGTTTCTAGATTTTTCTGTATAAATAGTTGATCTCTACTAATGAATTATAAAACGGTTCAGTTTGGTTTTGTTACTTGATCAGAAACGAGATGCCGGTAGAAGGTCAGAATGAGTTGGAACAAATTGTCTCTGTGTTTGTTTTTCTGTTGTTGTGATTCTGGGATGCAGCAGCCTCTGATCTCCAGCGTGTTGCTTTGTGATTGATGCTGGAGCGATAAATGTGATGGAGGATGGCTCTGCTGGGTTTATGGTATTTAATGGTTTTACTGTCTGATGAAGTCAATAAATGGATTCACCTCTCCCTGTTGTTTTTTTTTTTCAGACGTTGTTCACAGATTCGCCACAAGATGGCGACAGAACACTTTTATTTAACAGATTAGGGAAGCAAAAAAAACTTGATTTAATCAAATTTCACCAGTGAATTCTTTTTCTTTTTTTTTTTACAAATGTAAATGTTTTAAGTTTTTTTTAAGATACAAAAGCATTGCTTAAAAATTGGCAAAAGTCATTACTTTGGTTGTTTGTTTATTATTAGGATCCCCATTAGCTGTGCTTTACACCCAGCTACTCTTCCTGCGGTCCACATCATAAAATACAGTATACAATGTAAATTCATAAACATGTTTGACAGATGACAGATATTATATACATATCAATAAGACTGAGCATTCATAAAAAAGGGGAAAGTTAAAATTGTTTAATTTTTGTTGCAGTTATATTATTATTATCTTATTACACTTGTGGTGAATTACTGTTGTAGAACCAATAATTTGGAATAATTTGGGTCTTGAATCGATTCTGTTAGCAGTTTATGGGTCAGAAGCTAAAAAGTTTGGTAACCTATGACTTTAATTGTCTGTTTTTTTCCAATTCAGTTTAATTATCTGGAGACATTTAATCAAATAATTCCAGAGCGGCTTTTCTAAGGAAAACGGCTGATGCATCCAGTCATCTACTTTGCAGGATTCACTTCCCCTGGATCAGGAATCAGCAACCCAAACTGCTCAAAGAGCAATATTGGACAGAAAAGTAAAAATAAATCTGTCTGGAGCCGCGAAAATGTAAAAGTCTTATATAAGCCTTGTATGGCAACACGGGCTCTAAGTGTATTATCCTGCTATAGAAAAGGACTGTGGGCTTAAATATATAATATGGATTCATAATTAAATGTTTATCCAGGAGCAAATGTGACATAGCAGCATGAGGTGAGGGAGGAGCAGTGAACGCTCTCACCGCTGCTGCTTCACCGCGCGGTTTAGGTTTTGTTGCATTGATGAAATTACAGAAACGAGATAAAGAAATCTCTATTGTGGACGTATTTCTGTTGGGAGCAGAGGCGTAGAAACTTTTTACAAGGGTGACCAGACAATAACCACTGTACACTGAGGGGAGGCCAAAAAAACGGTCAATCTAAACTGCTCCAACAGGAAAATTAATGAGCAAAACATCCATATTTTCTAAATAAAGACAAACTATACTTTCCCACAGCCTTTGCTAACAAATACATGAATATACTCAAACATCTGTGCTTTATAAATAAAAGGTATATTGGAGAAAACTCTTCAGGTTTGAGTTTTTGGCGAACATCTTTTCCGTTGTCATTACTTACCTACTTTTATCAACAATCATTCTGCATAAAACTGATATTTACAAGCACATTTATCTACATGAATTGATTAATATGTTTTTATTAAAATAGTTATTTATCTATTTCACTGAAGAATTCTAGATGACTTGCAGAGACACATTATTTTCTCTTTACCCCATAAAACACAAAATCTATTTCTGCTTGAATTCTGTACTTATCATTTTAATGTTAGTATATTGATGTGCATAATAAACCACAGTGTTTTTGTTGTCAAATAATTCTTAATATCTGAAAAATTTCAATGTTTTGAATATTCAGCTTGAGATTATTACTGCTGCCACCGTCTGTATTGAAGGGAAATAAATGGTAGGGGTGGCCAATGAATGACCATGGCCACCCCTGGTCCCCCATCTAGCTCCGCCCCTGGTTGGGAGGAGTTGATTGAGTCATGAAGAACCAAGCAGGAACTGACATCCATCAGAGCAGAGCTCTATAACGCTGAAATCCCACATTCTCCGTCACCAGCGTTCCTTGATATGATTTATATTTTGAGGATTATTGGGAATGGAAAAAGAAAAGAAAAAATCACATCCCTGCATCAGAGAGCTACCTGTAGGATCTATCATCTATGAAAGGTTTTCTATGCTTAGAACCAAACTGGCAGCAGTAGTGGAGATGCAATCCATTTCTTAAATCTATCTTTGCTCTCCCCTTATTTATCCAGAAGTTCTGCAATCGCACTTTTTCTCTCACTGCCAGCTTGGTGATCGGCTGCAAATTTAGCAGCTTTCCCTGGAAATGCCTTTCCAAATTACTCTTTTTATTATATGACAAATTCTTGTGCCAAAGCAAAATGCAGGCAATCCCTCCGCATTGATAATGAGACCAAATGATTCGCTCCGTTCTTCTCTGAATCCTCTGTTCTCATCAGATATCTTCCTTTTTTTCCCTTTGGGATCCATGGCCACAGGGATTCCCAAACTTTACCATGCCAAGGCCCCCCTACACCAGTACATTTTCAGCTGAGGCCCCCCTTCATATGAAACATGCGTAAAAACTCATGTGTAAGCTACAGCGACAGAATTTTAAAAAGAGTGAACAAACCACCTACATAAAAACACATTTATTTTGGAAAGATGGAGTCACAATTATATTTTATTAAACTTTTAATTCATTAATTTAATGAATAAAATATAACAATAACATAGGCCCACCACTTTAATCTGAATAACCTTTTTTTAAACGAGGAACCTCTTTATACCTTGCAAAAACAGAAAGATTTGTGAACAAAATAAAAGTTTGTCCCAAATTAAACATGCAGGCATTTTATATAATGCAGGCTTAACAACAAATGTAGGCTGCATGAGAAAGACAGAGACATAGCATGTTAATGGGAGCAGTGGGCCTGATGGCTTCTACAGTGTGTCCAGTCTGGATGTCTGTCAGAGCAACATGCATGTCATTCTCCACATTCAAACGTGATCTGTGTTTAGTTTTCAGTACTTTTATAGTGGAGTTATACCCAAAAAGGAATAGTTTAATTATTTTTATTCAATAAAAATAATTTCATGCATAACTTTTTTTTTTTCTCCATCCGAAAACATAAAGAATGTCTGTTTGACCTCCTACACACAATATTAAAATAAACAAACAAAAAAAATAAATTTTCCATACATTTTTGAAAAAGCTCCAGGGAGCCCCGAGGGGGCGCTAAAGAGCTGCGTGTTGCCGACCCCTACCTGGATAAAAAATTATGTCAGATCAAACCATCAGGCCAGATGCACCTATGAAGATGGAGAATTTTAAAAGGACAGCACGGTCCCTATGTCCTCCAGCAGTCTACGCCTATAGCAGCAGAACTATAGAGATAGCTCAGGATAACCTGAGCCACTCTAACTAGAAGCTTTATCAAAAAGGAAAGTTTTAAGCCTAGAGAAGGATGTGAGAAGGAGGATTTTAAATTCTATTCTGGATTTAACAGGAAGCCAGTGAAGAGAAGCCAGGATAGGAGGGATATGATTACTACAGTTTTTCAATGGATCTAACTTGATCACCTTCAGCCTGCTGCTGATATATAAAAGCTGTGGTTTGAGTTCTGACTAAAAAGGAAAATGAAGCATGGCTTCATTTAGTGATTTAAATGAACAAATGAAAAATTTTTAGAGCAACTTTTAATCATTTATCTTCGTTTCTTCCTAACGTTTGCTAAAACTATTCAGTCAAACATTTAAATCTCAACAGGAAATCTATTTCAGGCAGAGATGGACGTCCCAAAACAGGAACAAGGAAAAGAAAATGTTTTTTAAAATGTATCCAGTGATACATTTTCTACAACCAACATGGCAGCTCGAGTTTACCACTAGTCTCTATTTATTCCTGGATTGCTGATTGCCCGCTGGTATTACAGGGTTGAACTGAAGCCACCGAGCGCCATATTGGTACTCCCTAGTTAGACCGGTCACAATGTGAACAAACTGTGCGCTACAGCATCGAACAACATCGATGTTCTCATTTTCAGGAGGGACTTAAGACTTTTAAAATAAAGATAAATTCATCACTTTGACACAGACTGGCTGTTTCACAGCATCAGTAGATCAATTTAACTTAAAATAGGCCCATCACATTGCATCATCATTACGAAGTCAATGAAGTCTATAAATCATGTAATATAACATATTATACAAATCCATCACAACAGCATTTATTTGTTAATGGAGCATCTTTATTTCATCAATATAACATGCAACATATTTCAGCACATGACTTTTTCCAACAAACACTCCAGAAACGACAGCGTCAACCACTTAAGAATTACTACAGTGACATTTCACAGTGTATTGCTTTCTATTTCCTCTACTTTCTAACGTTAGACCCAATGTCAATGGATACCTCAGTCAATGTCTTTCAGTCAGTCTGAGATAGCCACACTAATGTTACGCTACAGATTATACTATAGGATCCATCGGCGTATACCGTAAATCCTCTAATATTGGCCTGTATTCCAATAGCGGTCTCTAACAATGGCTGGTCTCGCTGTCACGGCACCAGATGGTGATGGAGGAAGTGAGGATGGACTCGATGACGGAGGAGTAGAACTGCACCATCATTGTCCTGGGCAGGTTGAATTTATTCAGCTGCCGCAGGAAGTTCATCCCCTGCTGGGCTTTTTTGGTGAGGGAGTCGATGTTCAGCTCCCACTTTAGGTCCTGGGAGATGATAGTTCCCAGGAAGCGGAAAGACTCCACAGTGTCAATGGTGGAGTCACAGAGGGTGATGGGGGTAGCTGGGTGTTGGGTTAATTAATTGTACATAAGTTATTCTACTTTAATCATATTACTTTAATCATATTATACTTACACATTTTGTTATCTCTATCTTACTCATATTACAAAGAGTGTTAAAACATTTAGTTTTGTTTGCTGTGTCATTAATGTTTTTTAAGTCTGTGCAGGAGGGATGCTGACTGCGACTGCTGTTAACAGATGTCGTTAAGGGTGTGGAAGAGAATGGAGAACTGTGCAACTAGATAAGGAGAGGGGTTCTCCTTATCCTATGATGTTGTATGATGTTGTATGATGTTGTACGAAAATTCTGGTTTCAACTGGGTTCTGTTCCCTCCCCCTTTAGCGGTTGAAACCACATTGTAATCAGGGCGTTTCTTCAATAAAGGGCTTGGAGAGCAGATACTGCTTCAGAGTGGGTTTGAAGTTGTA